AAATTATTGACTTAACCAAAATGAAGAAATAAAATCACAGACATAAACGAGCGTGTGGCTGACCTCAGTGTGTGGCCCTGGTCCTCCAAGTACACTCCATAGTCTTTAGAAATCTGGTGAGTGAGGTCAGACAGCAGAGGGATTTTCATCGGTCCAAGTCCGCCCTGTTTCCTCGGGGTGTTAATCCTGTTGAAAACATAAATATAGTAACGTCCTGATGCATGCGCAATAATAAATATATAATACTACACTATACTATAATAAATATAGTGAGCAATAAGACGCTGTAGACAAGTCATAGTTGAGTTTTAGAAAACTAAACCGCAAAGTCTGGATGTCTGGAGCAGCAAACACACCAGGATAGGTGGGTGAACTGGGAGTCCACCGAGCAGGCGACCACTTCCGTGTTAATGGCCTGAAACTCGTGCACACGGTCGCTGAATGCAATAATCTCAGTGGGACAGACGAATGTGCTGCAACAGAAAACAGCTGCATTAATATTCCAACGTTCAGCAGCACGTAAAGTAAAAAACGATTATGTCACAGGCGGCTCAGACGGTGGCTTACAAGTCCAAAGGATAGAAGAAAAAGACGAGATATTTTCCCTTGTAGTCGGACAACTTCAGCTCCTTGAATTCACCGTTGATGACGGCCGTTCCTTCCCAGTGTGGTGCCGGCTTTGAAACTTAAATGAGAAAGTACAGATGCAGCCAGTTAAATCAGGAGGTGACCAGGATTGGCCGATTTTAACACTGACCAGTTTGACCAGCTGAAGTTGGACGTTTAACATATCGGAATCAGATAAACAAGGATTAGGGCCACACCGATTTGGTTTTTACCCTCATTTCCCTGAGGATTCTGAGATTAAACTCAGAACACTTTAAAGTAGAGCTCAACTGATATATCCGAAGGGGTCTGATATTTTAAGCTGATAGGTGTCTGGGGACACGTCATTAGCTCATTATGCGCCGATATACACTTCTAATTTTCACCCCTAAGATGCTGGGAACCAGTCGTGTCCTTATTTGCAAATGGTGTAATTGTACAATGTATGCAACAGAGGGCGCATGCGGACTACTATCAAGTCATGGCCGTGCTGCACACTTGACTGGAGAAGGGGTTCTCTGCAGACTGAAAGTGGGCATTTCTAGAGGACAAACACTGATTGGTTAGCTGTATTTGCTGCTCTTTAGGTAAGTTACGTCAGCTCTTTTTTAAAACTGAAGGTTTCTAAGAACCAGCGTTATATCTGATGTCAAACACAAGAAGATTCTCTTTTGTTCTTGGTTGTAGGCTGCACCTGACACAGGTTGGTTTGAGTGTGGTCTGGGTACAATGAAATATGAAGCATCTGAAGCGAAACTATTTGTCAAAAAGTCTGGTCTCAATTAAAGATCGTGAGTCCTGTAACGAGATAATGGCCCAAAACAAAGTTCTTCTGTGAGATCTGATGTATGAAAGGAGCTGAAACATGGAGTAGGATTGACCCTTAAACTGTGAGACAGCAGAGGAAGTTAACCAGTAAACAGAAATACCTGCTCCGGTTACAGAAATCTTGCAGAAACTGACAATCACTCATCTGCAGTGACTGATTTAAAAGGTTGAACAAGAAAATGTGAAGTTAAAGGAAACATCCTTTGTTCCAAAGCCAGTTTAAGTATCATTATTATTTGGTTACTTTATTTTTCTTTCTTTATGAATTGATTGTAACTATTTTCACTTTATTCAACAACCAGAACATTTTTTTTTATGTTATGGCTAGGTATTAAAAATAATAATTAGCCTTCCCCACTACCCATTTATGTTGCTTTTATTTTGAAATGTAACCAGAAGTTCTGTGTTAAAAGAGGCAGAAAGAAAAGTTATGGAGACGCCGCTCACGTCGAACCAGCTCACACAATCTGCCTGAACCTCCGTGCATCACCGTTTCATGTCCCCTCTGGCATTTTGTTTGTATTATTGATGTTGACGACTGGTTAACAACCAGAAGTTTTCTATGTCTTTAAATTTTCAATAATAATAATAATTAAAAAAAACACACAACCTGCCTGCCGTCTTCTGATACCTTCGTCCAATCAGATGTGGCCCTTGAGTAACGCTTGTTTTGTTTCATCCAATCAGGAGTCGCTCTTGAGATACGCCTCCCGTTAGGAACGCCTAGTCGTCTGCAGAGATCTTAGCTGTGCTTGGCTCACAACCAGAGGAGACCCAAGAAGCAGGGATCAACTGCGCAGCATATTTTGCTGAACAGACAGGAAAGTTTAATGTTACCGATTTGTAAAATTAAAAAAAGTCAATATACATTTTCTTCAATCCTCCAACTTGCTTGTCATTAGCTACGTGCCTCTCAATTAAC